GGCTGAGAGCCGGCTGGTCTAGGATGGTCTACCTCTGCTCCACATGATCTGATCCTCTGGTAGGCCAGCCCTAGTTTGCTCACATGGCAGTTGGACAGATGTCCAATGGTGCTGACAGAAGTATGCAAGGCTCTGAGGCCTGGAACCTAAGTTTGCATAATATTACCTCATTCTTTTGAACAAATCAAGTCAAAAGGCCAACAGATTTGAATAACTGAAAAACAGATGAACAGGAGGCATTGCAAAGTTACCTTGCAAAAGATACAGGTACAAGGAGTGGTAGAGAACTATGAGCAGTTTGTGATCCACCATATAGTGTTGTCACAATTGCTGAATAATGAGGAAGAGGCCTCTAGGGAAATGGTGAAGTCAAAGCAAAATTACAAAATTCTGAACTGGTAAACTGTGTATATGTTAATATTATTCATTCACTGAAAAGGGAAGATAAGTATATTTGATTTTTAAAATGAGTGGGAAATGTAAATTTCAAACACAGAAAAGAAGTTCAGAAATGAGGTTGAGGCTCCATCGAAAACTACAAGAACTGATAAAATCAGTGAAATTGCAAGACACAAAATCAACTTATAAAAATCAGTAACATCTCTATATGCCAAAAATGAACAATCTGAAAATTTAAAAAAAAAAAATTACAATAGCTACAAATAAAATATCTAGGAATTAATCCTTTAAAGAAGTAAATAATCTCTACAATGAAAACTGTAAAACACTGAAAAAAATTGAACAGGACACAAAATATGAAAAGATATTCCACGTTCATGGACTGGAAGACTTAATATTGTTAAAATGTCCATATTCTCCAAATCATTCTCCGATTCAATGCAATACATATCAATGACATTCTTCACAGAAACAGGGAAAATTCTAAATATGGAACCACAAAAAACCCAGAATAGCAGTAGCTATCATGAGCATCAAGAAGAAAACTGGAGAAATCACATTACTTGACTTCACATTATACTACAGAGCTACAGTAACCAAAACAGCATGGTACTGGCATAAAAACAGACAAACAGAACAATGGAAGGAGAATTCAGTAATAAACTCACACATCTACTGGCCGGGCAAAGTGGCTCACACCTATAATCCCACCATTTTGGGAGGCCTAGGCAGGCAGATCACTTGAAGCCAGAACTTCAAGACCAGCCTGATCAACATGGTAAAACCCCATCTCTACCAAAAATGCAAAAACTAGCCAGGCATGGTGACACATGCCTGAAGTACCAGCTACTCAGGAGGCTGAAACATGAGAATCACTTGAACCCAGTTAGTGGAGGTTGTAGTGAGCTGAGATCATGCCACTGTATTCCACCCTGGGTGACGAGACTCTTTTTACTTTTTTTTCTTTTTTCTTTTAAGGAAAAAAAAAAAAGAAATCCACACATCTACAGTGTTGACCAACATTCCAGAAACATATAGGAGAAAAGAAAACATACACTGGAGAAAAGACAGTCTTTTCAATAAATGGTAGTGGGGAAAACTGGATATCCATATGCAGAAGAATGAAACTTGACACCTATTTCTTACCACATACAAAAATCAAAATGGAGTAAAGACTTAAATCTAACACCAAATTATGAAACTACTGTAAGAAAACACTAAGGAAAATATCCAGGGCATTGGTCTGGACAGAAATTTCTTGAGTAATACCCCTCAAGCAAAGGCAACCAAAGTAAAAGTGAACAAATGGAATATTACATTAAAAAGCTTCTGCACAGCAAAGGAAATAATCAACAAAGAGACAATCCACGCAATGGGAGAAAATACTTGCAAACTACTCATCTGACAAGTGATTCACAACCAGGATGTATAAAGAGTTCAAACAACTTTATAGGAAAAAATCTAATAGTCAGATGTAAAAATGGGGAAAAGATCTGGTAGACATTTCTCAAAAGAAGACATATAAATGGCAAATAGGCATATAAAAAGGTACTCAAAAATCACTGATCATTAGAGAACTGCAAATCAAAACTACAATGAGATATCATAACACCCCAGTTAAAATAGCTTTTATCCAAAAGACAGGCAATAACAAATGCTGGTGAGAATGTGGAGAAAAGGGAACCCTTGTACAGTTTGGGTGGGAATGTAAATTAGTACAACCACTATGAAGAGCAGTTTGGAGGTTCTTCAAAAAACTAAAAATAAAGCTAGCATATGATCCAGCAATCCCATTGCTGGATACAGACCAAAAATAAGAAAAGTGAATCTACTAAAGAGGTATCTGCACTCTCAAGTTTGTTGCACTCTTCACAATAGCCAAGTTATGGAATCAGCCTAAGTATCCATCAACAGATGAATGGATAAAGAGAATGTGGTCTACTACAGAGTACCATACAACTATAAAGAATGAGATCCTATCATTTGCAACAACATGGATGGAACTGGAGGTCACTAGGTTAAGTGAAATAAGGAATGAATAATACCTAGTATTTGATAGCACAAGGTGACTATAGTCAAAATAATTCTACATTTTAAAATAAGAGTATAACTGGATTGCTTATAACACAAAAGATGAATGTTTGAGGGGATGGATAGCCCATTTTCTATTATGTGATTATTACACATTGCATGCCTATCTTAAAATATCTTATGTACCTCATAAATATATACATCTATGTACCCACAAAAATTAAAAATTTTAAAATGAGATTTAGGTTGGTGTTAGTGATTTAAGGGTACAGCTAATATTTGAAGCAATAGATGTGTACTGTGAGTCCTGAAAATGAAAACCCAGAGAACATATTTTTTAAAGTGGGGGTGGGGAGGAGAAAATTTATAATCTAAAGGAAAATGAGGCAGTATAAAAAGCAGAATTGGTTTAAAAGCAGAAGAGAGTAATACTATCAAATCTTCATCATACCAATCTTACAGTGATTAATACCCCACTGATTTTGGCAAGCGAGTGGTTAGGCTGACTACAGCAGCAGATGAAGTAAAAGAAAAAGAAGACATGGAAAGTACTGCTCAGTGGCTAGCTGAAGTGAAGGATCACAGAAACGAGGCAGTCTGCAGTGGAAATAAAAGCACTAGTAGAATGGCACTATAGGCAGTAAGTTTACAGATCAGTTTGCTGTTAAAGACCACTTCCTATTTCAGCAGTTCCCAAACTTTTACACACTTGGTGTCCCAGTATTTGCACAGTACATCTTGGCAAAAACAACAACAAAGAAAACTTAGTTTTATTAAGTAGTCCAAACAACTAATTTATGCCATAACACTTTAGCACCTGTTGGACATGGCACAACTTACACTGTAATCATACTGACCAACACTACCTACATTTTCTGTTACTCAGTAATCTTCTGTGATGTTTGCCTTTTTATTACAGCAACCACTAAAAGCTCAGCTTCATAAAGATCTGTCATTTAAAAAAATGTGGCAATATAACTGTGAAACTGAAAAATCTTGCACTAGCAATCTGTGTGGTATCTAGCAAACACAAACGTGGCTGTGATTTCCTCAAAGTTAAAATATCCTGCAGTACCCCTGAGTTCTCTGTGGTGCCCAGGGAATCTCCGTTTATAATTTGGGGACCATAGCCCTAGTCCCTTTCCTTGCTTTTTTTTCTCAATAGTACTTATCACCCTACATATTTCATTTCTCTCCTTTAGAATATGAGTTCCATGGGGGTAGTAGACTTTTTGTCTTTGGTAAATGCTATATCCCCTCCCTGTTACCTAGAATGATATCTGGCAAATACAGGTTTTTAATAAGTATCTGTTGAATGAATTGTGCCGTGGGAGTAAGAAACTGATTCTACTGTTAAGACACAGTGGCAAAAGCATAGGATATTGAAACAGTTCTGAACACAGTGAAGGTTTAAGTGTAGCCATGGCATGAGTGGCTGGATGAATGAAAGTGAATAATAACACATAACTCTTAGGCTACTGGGTAAGTAAACAACATAAATACTAAGACACCAAAATAATAGCAAGATTTGAGGTAAGTCAAGTGCCAGTAAACAGGAGGGAAGTATACGCAAAAAGAAAAAAGCCACAAAGGAAAAAGTTCTTAAGCAAAGGTGGCATACTGATGGGCTGAAAGGGACAACAGGATGGGTCTCATAAAGTGGGAGTTGTGGCTCACTTTACAAGAGTACAGAGAAGGAGTGTCTTCATAAGTATTAGGTTTCTCTTGGGCAAGATGAAAAAGATAATGCTGTAAAGAGTTTGCAGATGTATTTGTTCATGATGAAAGAAGTCTCCTGAACATACAACTAGATTTTAAACTTCTTGAGGGCAGGAGCTTTATCTTATCCATTGCTGTATCCTGTTGCAGACAGATTAACTATTGATTATCTTTCTCAATGAAAAAGACCAACAGATCAATGGACAGACTGACTCAAAAAAAGGAAGAATGGACTTACTTAAGGGGGCCCTACCAGCTATATACAGAGAAAACATAAATCAGTTTCTAAAGAGATGATATAAATTGCAAGTACATCTAAAAAATAATCATTTCAGAATCTTGGAGTAGGCCTCCAAAACTGTCTTAATCTGTTTGGGATGCAATTAACAAATTACCATAGACTGAGTGGCTTATAAATAGAAATCTGTTTCTCCTAGTTTTGAAGGCTGCAAAGTTCAAGATCAGGGCACCAGCAGATTCAGTATCTGATGAAGGGCCACTTTCTGCTTCATCTTCTCACTGTATCCTCATATGGTAGAAGGGGCAAGAGATCTCTCTGGAGCTTCTTTTATAAGGTTACTAATCCCAAATGACAATTACCTCCTAAAGGCTCTACCACCTAATACTATCACACTGGGAATCAGCTTTCAATAACTAAAGATATAAGTCATTTCGCATATTTTTTTAATTCATATTTTGTTTTAGAGGGAGTTACCATTTTTTACATTTAAAAAGTTAAAGTTTCTTAAGTTGATTTGTAATGTCCTCAACTATTAGGTAATAAATAAAAGTTTCAAGGTAGCTACACATTATGTCAGGGGTTATTATTAACAAACAAACACTGTAGGAAATATATTTTGTATAGTCTATTATACAAATGATTGATAGTAAGTGAATTTTGAAGTTTCTCCCTAACCTTTTATTGTGAATGAACAGTGATGCAGGGAGAAGAGATGTTCAGAACAAAAATCATGTATGTATTATTAAAGTAGAAGTGATGAAATGTTCAGAATGACAATGTATTTAAAAAATAACCTTGCTGGAATTCTACATCTATCATTATCACAACATACTTCTTTGATGAAGCTAAAGAAAAGCCAAAAGGCTAATATTCTTGGATGAGAATAGCATTTTAAAATTTTTTCAGCAAAACTCTAGAAACTTGTCCATTTTGATCCATTCTTTCCTGTTTAGTTGTAAAATCGAATTTCATACATCAAGTACTATTATTCCAATGAAGTTTTTTCAATTGTCACTAGTGATCCTGATCCACATATTACATTCATAATATTCAAAAATGATATTTCATTAGTAACAGGCATTTTCAAAGCTTAAATAATATATTTCAAAAACCAATGATAATTAAAGTAAGAGTTCTAAATTTTTGCATGTCTTGTTAAGCTTTGTTGTATAGACTACAATTTTGGTTCCGCCGACTCAGAAACACTAAATTGCCAATTGGGTTTCGTGGTTTCTTGCATCAGCTCCTGCAACTGTCCAATTTGTTCATCACGGAAGTCATTAAGTTTTTCTTCTGGGAGGAAGATGCCAAAACATGCTTTTCCAGTTGAATTTTGCCTGTTTTCATTAGCTTGTTGCGATAACACTGTTGCATACACCTAAAAAGAGAAATAATGAAGGTTATAGACGTAAAGTTTAACTAGTATTTAACATTAGAAGACTTGAATTCTAATTCCAAGTCACCTATTATTCCTCATCACTAAATGCAGAAGCATTTGGTTAGGAAGATACAAATATAGTTGTGAAGATACAATTCATTGATAATTTTATGTGTACCTATTTTTTAGCACTTTAAGAATTTCAATCAGTGTTTAGCAAAATTTTTAACCTGGAAATAAGTAGGACATGGTGAATTCATGGATGGGCTTCAGGAGCATGCATAAACCACTTCAAAACATGTACAAAATTGTATTTACACAAGTATGGACGTCATTTCTAGGGCCATAGCTTTCAACAGATTCTCAAACAGGAACCATGGGTCTTTTTTCCCCCAACTTTTATTTTAAACCTTCACATGTATTCCCTAGATACAAGGGGTACATGTGTAGGTTTGTTACATGGGAATAATTACATGATGCTCAAGTTTTGGGTACTGATCCTGTCACCCAGGGAGTAAGCATGGTAGTTTTCAACCCATACCTCCCTCCAGTAGTCCATGCTGTCAATTGTTCCCTATTTACATCCATGTGTGCTCAATGTTTAGCTCCCCCTTAACATTTTCTCTGTTCCTGTGTTAATTTGCTTAGAATTATGGCATCCATGCTGCTGTAAAAGGACACGATTTCATCCTTTTTATGGTTGCATAGTATTCCACAGTGACATGTAATACATCTTCAAGTGAGTCTAAGTTTATTCCTATGTCTTCAATTACAGTTTTAATTTAAAATACACTAGTATTTTAAAATTAAAATTAACTAGTATTTAACATTAGAAGACTTGAATTCTAATTCCAAGTCACCTATTATTCCTCATCACTAAAAAAACTTCTTAAACCTTTAAGCTTTCAATATGTAGCAACCATCTGTGTCAAGAAAAACTATTTTTCATGTTCTAGTTTTGCTCTTATTAAGTACATTCAGCCTAATATTTCAACCACCCCCATCTGTACAAGTGCCACTGTTTTAAAACAGACTCTCACTCTACAATTAATATTTTAACAGACGAAGTACCCAATGTATTTAAGTTCATAAAGTTAAAGTGAACGAACCGGCTAACTATGGATAATGCTGCTACTCAATCTGGCTTGAGATATCTAAATTGCTTGTAATTGCTGGAATGGGAACATTGCCAGAACAACTTTAATTCCAAACATTCCAAACCTTAACTTATGGAGAAAATATTTTCTCCATGATTTACAGAAATCCGCTTATAAAAACACTTCCAGCTTTCTCAGTTCCACTTTTAAGTATATGCTTCAGAGCAGGGTTTTTCAACCTTGGCACTATTTTTTGGCAGTGGGGAGGGTTGGTGGGAGTCTGGTCTTGAATTGTAGATGTTTAGGAGCAACACCCTCTCCCAGTCTTGATAATCTAAAATGTCTCCACACACTGCCAAAGGTTTCCTGATGGGCAAAAATCACCCTGGTTGAGAACTACCAAACATCTGAACAAATAACATCCATAAGATGTTCATTGTTAATAATTTTACTTTAATAGGAGAAAAGCCAAATACACTAAAACTTACTCAGATAATAAAGTAGTGACAACAAATAAGCTAAAAGTCTATGTATCAACATGGATGAATCTCCAAAAAAGTTACTCATTTGCAAAAATGGAAATAAAGAAATAGGAAAAACAATCTTGAACAAGAACAAAACTAGAGGACTCACAACTCCCAATTTCAAAACTTGAAAGCTACCTTAAAACAGTACGTAACACCAATAGAATAGACAGTCTAGAAGTAAATCCTTACATATATAGCCAATAGATTTTTTACAAAGATGTCAAATCCGTTGAATGGAGGAAAGAATAGTCTGATCAACAAATGGTGCTGGGGGGCAAACTGAATTTCCACATGCAAATGAAGTTAGACCCCCACATTACTCCATATACAAAAATGAACTTGAATATAATAATAGCTAAAATCATGAAAATCCTAGAAGAAAACATAGGTAAATCTTTATGACTATGTCCTTTGATTTGGCAATAGGTTCTTAGATATGACACCAAAAGCCCAAGCAGCAACAACAAAAATTGATAAATTGGACACTATCAAAATTTAAAACTTCTGTACATCAAAGGACACTTAATAGTGAAAAGAAAAACTACAGAATGAGGAAAAATTTGCAAATCCTATCTGATAAGGGTTTACTATCCAGAATATATAAAGAACCACAACAAAAAGACACCCAATTTAAAAATGGGTGAAGTACATGAATAGACATTTCTCCAAAGAAGATATACAGATGGCCAAGTACATGAAAAGGTGCTCAAAATCATTTATCATTTAAAAAAGTAAATGAAAACCATAATGATATGCCACTTCACACCAAGATGTCTACTATAATAATTTTTTAAACCCCAGAAAATAACAGGTGTTGGCAAGGCTATGAATAATGGGAATATAAAATGGTATGGGCACTGCACAAAGTTGGCAGTTCCTCAAAGTTAAAACAGAATTACCGTTATGATTAAATGCACCATAGGTATATACCAAAATAGACAATACTTGGAAAATAACCTTAGATGTCCAGAAGCAAGCAGATAAAATGTGGTACAGATATACAATGGAATATTTATCACCCTTAAAATGGAATGAAGTTCTGAAGCATATGACATGGATAAACCTTGAAAACATTATGCTAAGTGAAGAAGCCAAACATAAAAAGACTAATATTGTATTATCTCACTTATATATGTAGAATAGAGAGTACTAAGGGCTGGGAGGAGGTAGGAAAGGCTGTTATTGCTTAATGGCCACAGAATTTCTGCTTGGGTGAGGAAAAAATCTGGAATAATGTCTCTACAAAGTATCATTTACAGTGTCCAGGAAAAATATTCAAAATTATTACAAACATAGCCAAGAGAAAAGGCAATCAATGGAGACCAGTGCCTGAGATTATTCAGACATTAGAATTAACAGAAAAAGATTTTATAGCAGCTACTATAAATGTTACGTAAAAGAAAATAAAGTCCTCATAAATGGGCAGAAAAATTTCAGCAGAGAATGAAGAATTGTAAGAACCAAATAATCTCTAGAACTCAAAAATGCAGTATCTGGAATTTTTAAAATGTCACTGAGTAGATTGGAGATGAGGGAAGATACATTAACCTGAAAATATGGCAATAGAAATTATCCAATTTTAAAGACAAAAAAACTATTTAAAAATGAATAAAATATCACTGATCTGTGACACAATGCCAAAAGATTTACTATACGTTTAAGTGGAATCCACATAAGTGCCTTAGCAGAAAAACAAAGAAATTCAAGAAGCTTAGCAAGTTCTAAGCAAAATACAAAATAATACTATACCTAAGCATATAAATTGTTGAAAAATAAAGCAAAAATCTTTTTTAAAAGTTTAAAAAAAAATTTACAAATATGTGCAAATATACAAAACATAAAAACAAGCATGGAAGCAACCAACCTCAGGATCCTGATTACCTCTGAGGAGTAAGAAGGGGGAATGGAATTTTAGCTGTACCTTTATTTACTTTCAAAAAGAGTGATCAAGTAAATACTGCAAAATATCAGTATTTGTTAAATCTGAGTGGTAAATACATAACTTTTCCATCATTGAAAAATTTTATAACTTTATGGCAATGATGCTTCTTATGGAAACTAGAAATATATTTCACGTGTGAGGAATGATCAGTGAATAAACATCTTGGATAGGAAGACTGTCATGAAAAGGAAGAAAAAGAAAAAAAACCCTTTCCCCCTGCAACACCACCCATTACCTTCTACTCTTTGACTCCATGTACTTGCAACAGCATTCCTTTCCTGACAAGACGCAAGAATGACCAAGATAAAAATAACTTCAGGACACAATTTGGAGGTGTCCAGATACAGAAGCAGCAGCAATAAAATGTGACTTTATACCAAGTCACCCTGGAAGCTATCTACCTGGAGGGAGGAGACTCAGAACAGAAAAATACTACACTACACATTAACAGCATCCTTTGGTTTCAAACTGTTATCATGCTGGCTTCTAAGAATAAAGCTATCCCGAAAGTTAGAATACTCTTATGATTGCTCTCTTCAACCAAAGAGAATGTGCAGTGCTTCCTCAGGATAAGTTAAGCAGCTGCTTCAAGCAGCAGAAAGCAATTGAAGACACTTTGAGTACAGTGAGAACAGGTGCAGCGGGCTGAATGATGTCCCCAAAAGATGTCAAGTCCTAATCTCGCACTGTTACTTATATGCATATTATAGGTTTTGCAGGTGTGATTAAATTAAGGATTTTGAGAGGAGATTATCCTGATCAGTCAGAAAATACGTTCACAAGTATTCTTAGAGGGGATAAGAGAAATTAGGCATACGGAGGAGAACGTGATATGAAGACAACATCATTTTGGAGTGATGTGGCCTTAAGTCAAGGGAATCCTTCATACACCAGAAGCTGAAAGATGTGGATTTCTTCCCTAGAGTCTCTCACTCTTTAATTAGGCCTCTCTAGAATATGCTACTATTGTTTTAAGCCAAACTGTGGTAATTTATTACAGCACACAGAGGAAATTAATACAGCAGTGAACTACAGAAACAGTTTTAAAGTCTCCTAGTAGAAAAAAACTAACCTTCATGCTATGCTATTTCCCACCAGTTTTTGAAAAGGCAGAGAAGCTGTAGTACCAGTTTATCAGTGATAGAACAATCGGAAATATTTTAAGGCTAGCTGTGCCTTCACTGTACTTTCTAATGCTCTACCATATATTAAACTTGTTTACAGTCTGAATCAAATTGATACTATTAAATTAATGGTACGTCTGAGCACAGTGGCTCATACCTGTAATCCCAGAGCTTTGGGAGGCCAAAAGGACTGCTTAGTTTTTAGTAAACCAAACACCACAAGTTCTCGCTTATAAGTGAAAGCTAAATGATGAGAACACATGAACACAAAGAGGGGAACAGATACCTACATGAGGGTAGGAGAAATAAC